TGAGATAAATAAATATAGTTAGAAATGCTTTCTCATTAGGTGTATATTAATTTCACATTTCATGGAATTGTGTAGTATGACATGACATTCATATTAAGGAGAGAATTTCTGTAGCTTCACTTAGTCTTCTGAACACTGTCTCGGAAGCTGCTGTCACAATCTAAAGATTCAATATTTTGATGTCATATTTTAGGATAATCAATTCGTTGTTATCAAATATATTATGAACTTTTGCTATACTTCAAGTTTGCCAAGATTTTGTTTTTTTTTTTTTTTTTTGTAAGCAGGATAATTTCTCTTTCTTTGTATTTTTTCTCTAAAAAATGGAAGTTCTTACAGTATCATACAACTGATATAAATAATTGTTGGCAGAAAGGTCTAGGAAAATATTTGTCTTTAATTTACATGAAACAAGCCAGATTGTATTAAAAATATAATAATAAAACAGTATATCACTGTAGACCAAAGAGTCATTCTGTGTTTTTGGAAGTAATGGAACATTGTTAAGGGAAAAATTGGCCATATAAAGGTCCTCTTTAGGTTACACTAAACTATGTATTCAGTCTCTCCTAAATCATCTTAGGATATGCAAAATTTTAACTCCTTTAGGATCAGAATCTCTACCTATTTTGCTGTTGTAAATCTCATGGCTAGTGCAATACTTGATGCATGCACTCCAAGATTATTTGCTGAATGACCAATAGGAAATCAAAGAAAAAAATAGAATTTCCCAGTATAGATGGTAATAACATAAATATTGTATATATAATGTTTTATATTTCTCAAGTAACTTTCAACTTTCATCCTGTTTCAGAGAGATTCAGAAACGGTTATTCTTTTTTTTTTTTTTGTATGTTTTCTTACTAAGGCTTTATGAAGTGAAATGACTTATGAAATAGGTTGAAAGTGAACCTTTTAAGATTCTGGATTCTAAATCTAACTTTTCTTTCTCTATGCCAAAAGTTGGCAAACTATTTTTGTAGGACTCAGTGGTGACTTTAAAAAGATAAAATCCAAACAAACAGGGTTCTAGAGGGGAGGGGGGTGGGAGGATGGGTTAGCCTGGTGGTGGGTATTGAGGAGGGCACGTTCTGCATGGAGCACTGGATGTTGTGCACAAACAATGAATCATGGAACACTTCATCTAAAACTAATGATGTAATGTATGGGGATTAACATAAGAATAAAAAAAAAAGATAAAATCCAGTTGACACAGCAACTGTAGATTAACCCATGGATTTATTTTGACCTGGGCTTTTGCTCCTCTTGATCTGTATCTTCCACATTCTATCTGCTTTTCTTTCAGCTTGCAATATCTACTCCTCCAGTACAAGAAATTGATGTCCCGGTTCTGGGACTTGGTTACTTAACTCAAATGCTTTTTTTTTTTTTTTTTTTTTTTTTTTGCAATTCAGACAAACTCTTACTTGTTTATGATATTCTGACTTCTAGGCCCAGAGTTCCATTTACAATAGTTTTCACATTCCTGGATTGCTTCTGTATTGATGTCTTGGTGATTATCTCACTAATTTATTTCAGCATTTTATTCGATACACTTCTATTTTAGTACAGGTCACTACATTTTATTCGATTACACTTCTTTACCAGTTACTACAATAAATGTACTTTATTCATCCTTCACTTATTTTTGGAGGTAAGAATTATCTATGTACCATAAGTTGGCCATCTAAGGAAGCACCCAAACTTGAAATGGAATCTGCAGACTATGACATGAAGGAGATAATTCATAATTATGTAGCATGCTTTTCCTGAGATGCCATGGCTTTGTAGCATTTAAAGGCATTTAGAAATTCATACTAATTAAATCAATTTAGTGGTTCCTTTGCATAGTATAGCAGAAAACTCGTTAACTTGCTTTTATTCTCCGTAATGTATCTTTCACTGATTATATCATCAAAATTATATTCATTCTCACTTGGCTATCACTTGCTAATTCTAGGCTTGATCAAAAGCAGATCCATTCAGAAACTACAGCATAGTAAAAAAAAAAAATGATCTTTGTGTATAGTGACAAGATCTTACAAAATTTCCTCTAGTTTCAATGTACAATAAAACATACAATTGGATCTGTGTATGATTAAAAAGTTAAAGGACTATTATATAAAGGGACAGCATTTACGTATTGTAGATATCTATAACTTCAGCTGCTATGTGCCTTAAATACTTATTATAACTCTGGTTAGAATTTTAAAAATTGAGAATTCAGCCAACGCAACAGCATAATAAATTTGTCTCAGTGTGGAAATCAATTCTTAAATTAACAATTTAACAATTTCCCTGGCAACAGTAGCAGGTGCCAACAGATGCATTTAGCCACCAACAACCAGATGAAAACAAGCATTCTTCATTACAAACTTTGGCACATATGGTTTATTTTTAAAAATAGGATAATATATGCTCAGTGCCTCTGAATTGTTATGATAGCTGGATCTCAGGATATAGAAAATGGATATAGAAAAATGGAATCATTTTCCATAAACTTTTTCATATATTGTTAAGAAATACTTTAAAGTTGCTTTGGGAGGGGTACCTTTGGGAGAAGCAAAACAAACAAATAGTCTCATAACTAAAAACCCCAGAAAATATAATCACTGAGTAAGGCGATACTTTTAGGATCCTTTGTGAAAAGCACACGAGTGTTTATTTAATCTGCCCTCTTTGAAACAGGGTATGATATTCTTAAGGCTGTATAATCAATACTGTGATAGAAAAAATAAGAATCGTTGAACACTAATGATGTACTATATGTTTGGCTAATTGAACATAATAATAAAAAAAAAAGAAAAGGAAAAATAAGCTTTCACTTTGAACAATTAATGAAATCTCTGAGCCCCTTGTGGAATCCACAACATAAGAGTTAAAATATAAGACTAGGTTTCTTGTTTCGTTTTTTCACAGTATTGGATTGATTACAATGCATCTTTATTCTTCTGGTCTACAGACTTATTCAGTTTCCATTTCTTTACAGATATTTCTTTTACCATATATTTGGTTTAGTTTAATAATTCTATATTTTTCTAAGTAGTATATCTGCTTTGAAATCTTCTTACATTTATCTCATATTTTCTTGATGTTTCAAAACTACTTTAGCTATTTTTTCCTAGATTATCATACTCTGTTTTAGCTCCCCTCCCCCAATTTTGAAACTCTTTTTCTGTGATATTTTCAACTAATTTCATTTCAGATTATTTCTCCTTTATCTGAAATTCAAATTTGAACTGAAGATAATCCTGATCCTGGTCACCTGAAGGATAGCCTTTTTTTTTTTTTCCTTTATGACTCAAGGAATAATAATAAAAAAAAAACAAACAAAACAAAAACCTAGGCTTGCTTCATAAACTTTAAAATACACTGACACTGCTTAGATCACAGGTGTCTCTAAGAATGATCAAAGTAGTTTTATATTTTTATTCCTTTTCTCATAGTTCTCCTTGAAGAAGTTAATCATGGTTTTGCTCCATGTAAATAGAACCAGTTAGGTGGACTAATTGCATCCTATCAGTCATCCTTTCTTTTCTTTCTGTTTTCTGGGGTAGCACACATCACTTACATACTCAGTCATCCTTTCTAAGTTTTCAATTTGCTTCAGGTTTAAAAATCAGTCATTTTAGAATTTTGTTTTCCCAGACCTTTTAAAAATATATATAGTGTCTTTATTTGAGTATCTTTCATACATATATTGAATCTAAAGTAGAGTTAATGGACATTTAAAAGACATTGTGGAAGGTTTTATAAATTACATGCATTTAAAAACACACATGACATGCACACATGCATTTCAAAACTGCAGCTTTCAAACTACAAAACCTAACTGGTTATGCCTTTGAGGAGAGCATGATTCAATTTTTTGTGTGTGAAAATTTTTTTGCATATGACACTATATTATTAAATGTTTGTGAATTATCATACCATATATAATTTTCACTATGTGAAATATATTTTCATAAAAATATGCAATATATATAGTTACTTTTGTAATGAATTGAACAGTGTTAGTTCCATACTAACAACTTGGATAGTTGAAACCTGTCTTCTGGTAACAGAAAAACGTATTATATCAAAATTTAAAATATGTTAAGCTAGTAAGTAATTTTTCCATAGACTGAAATTTTACATTTCAGCTACAAACTATCCCAACCGTGGCTGTGATTGAAGTATCTTGTCACTTAATGCATGTATGACTTCATTTGTGCATGCATCAACCTTATGGTTGCAATATTTTTCAGAAAATACAGTATGCCTGCAGCCAGATAAGGAAATCATAAATACTAAGACTCAAATATTACTGAAAACATGATTTTATACCATAAGACTTAATTTAAATCTACAGACAAAGCAAAAGTTGTTTTTGTTAAAACACACATGAGCATATATATTTTAAAAGTTTTTATGAGAAAGAAAATGTTGATAGATGTTTTTATTGTTGTTACTGTATTGTAATCAGTGTATTATCAGCATTATGTGTAATGCATATTTCTAATTGAAAATGTAAGAAATTAACCAAAACTCTGAACTTTATTTTTAAACTTTCTTTAACTTTGAAGCATACTTCCATTATTCCAATGAGGATAGATTCATATTAACATTCTAGCCCATTTTAGTCCTTGTAATGAGCTTAAAATAGCTGCCAGCTTGCAGTGCTGGAATTAATGATAATTAAATGTAACACAAAATGTATTTCCATATTTTGTATTGCTCAGATGATTTCATCAGATGTAGTATGATTCTTTTTAGAGATGACTACTGCTATTTAATCTCTTTTTCAATTTTAATTTGAATTTCATATTGTTCCTGACTGTTTAATGAATATTTTGGGAGATGGCCATAGTGTTGTTAATTATACTGGAGAATGAGTATAATTAATTCTTTTGGACCCAAAGTCAGCTAGTTAATCGATTTCTGATGAAACTGGAGATTAAACACAGATAGTTCACCTCTTCCTTCATTCATTTTAATTCTTCTCTCTTCAATTCAATCAGATTACTTTGGGAAGTCATTGCTGGCAAATCAATTTGTGGAGCTGTTTTGGACATTATCCAGATGTTAATAGGTGGGTGATCTTTTCCATCAAGGTAAAATTAAGAATTTTTAGTTTCAGTTATTGAGAAGTAAAAGCCACCATTATAACTGATAATTCATATTTAAGTAATTTATAATTGTCTATTAACAATTGGCTCATGCAATCATACATACAAAAAGTTGTTCACATGGCACTCCCAATAACCCTAAAATAGAAAAGAGGCAAAGGTTTACCATATTCCCAAGTACATTTCCTACTATGTAGTATTTCCAGTAATCGAGTTAGTAACTCATGGGGACAAAATTGATTTCTTAAACAATTCAGTGCTCTTACTATGGTTTGAATAACACAATAACATGTATGGCAATAATTTTCAATGCTATATGTGAGGACATATTATTTTTCTACTATTAAATGCCTTTAAAATTAAAAAAAAAAAGAAAATGAGACATAGTAAACTGACACCATTCCTACAGTCAAGGAATAAATCTTTAAGGATCTTCACATTTTTCATATTATTAGAGATAACTTTTAAATGTATTTTGTGAAATGCATATATGAAATATTTTAATAGAGATATCCTCAAATAGTATTTATTATAGGCACTAAGTTTGATGAATTATTACAAAATCAAATCAGTTTACTTAAGTTTGTTTCAGTAAAAGTTAAGATTCTCACTAATATAGGCATACCACATTTTATTGTGATTTGCTTCATTGTGCTTTGCAGACAAATTGAAAGTTTGTGGCAACCTTACATAGAGCAAGTCTATCAGGACCATTTTTCCAACAGCATTTGTTCATTTTCTGTCTCTTCTCACATTTTAGTAATTCACAATATTTCAAGCTTTTTCATTATTAATTGTTTGGTGATCTGTGGTTAGTGGTCTTTGATGTTATTATTGTAACTGTTTTGGGGCACCACGAACTGCACCAATATAAGATGGTGAACTTAGTCAATAAATGTGGTGTGTGTTCTGACCAGCCATTCTTCTGTCTCTCTACCTCTCCCTGGGTCTTCCTATTCTCTGAGACACAAAGATTAAAATTAGGCCAAACAATAACCCTTCAGTGGCCTTTAAGTGTTCAAGTGAAATGAAGAGTACACATGTCTCACTTTAAATCCGAAGCTAGAAATGATTCAGCTTAGTGAGGAAGGCATGTCAAAAGCTGGGATAGGCAGAAGCTGGCCTCTTGTGCCACACTGTTAAAAAGTTGTAAACACAAAGGAAAAATTCTTGAAGGAAATTAAAGTGCTGCTCCAGTGAAACACAAATGATAATAAAAGCAAAACAGCCTTACTGATTCGATGGAGAAAGTTTTAGTGTCTGGATAGAAGGTCAAACCAGCCACAACATTCCCCTAACCCAAAGCCTAATCTAGAGCAAGGCTCTAGGTCTTCACTGTATGAAGGCTGAGAGGTGGGGAAGCTGCAGAAGAAAAGTTTGAAACTAGCAGAGGTTAGTTCATAAGGTTTAAGGAAGTAAGTCACCTCTATAACATAAAAGTACAAAGTGAAGCAGTAAGTTTTGATGTAGAAGCTGGAGTAAGTTATCCAGAACACCTATCTAAGATAATGAGTGAAAGTGGCTACACTAAACAACATATTTTCAGGGTAGATGAAACAGGCTTATATTGGAAGAAGAAGCCATTTAAGACTTTCATAGCTAGAGAGGAGAAGTCAATGCCTGTCTTCAAAACTTTAAAGGACAGGTTGACCCTTTTATAGAGGCTCATGGAACTGGTGACTTTCAGTTGAAGCTAATGCTCATTTACCATTTTGAAAATCCTTGGGCCCTTCAGAATTATGTTAATTCTACTCTGACTGTGCTCTGGAAATGGAAGAGCAAAGGGGATAACTACACATCTGCTTACAATATGGTTTACCACATATTTTAAGCCTGCTGTTGAGACTTACTGCTTGGGGAAAAAAAAAAAAATTCTTTCAAAATATTACTGCTCATTGACAATGTACCTGGTCACCCAAGTGCTCTGATAGAAATGTACAATGAGATTAATGTTGTTTTCATGTCTGCTAACACATCCGTTCTGCAATCTATGGTCCAAGAGGTAATTTTGACTTTCAGGTCTTATGATTTAAGAAGTATACTTGTAAGCCTATAGTTGACATGGATATTGATTCCTCTGATGCCTCTTCGAAATGTAAATTGAAAGCCTTCTGGAAAGGATCCACCATTCTAGATGCCATTAAGAACGTTCATGCGGGGGTGCCTGGGTGGCTCAGTCGTTAAGCATATGCCTTTGGCTCAGGTCATGATCCCAGGGTCCTGGGATCAAGCCCCACATCTGGCTCCCTGCTCGGCGGGAAGCCTGCTTCTCCCTCTCCCACTCCCCCTGCTTGTGTTCCCTCTCTCTCTGTGTCTCTCTCTGTCAAATAAATAAAATCTTAAAAAAAAAAAAAAAAGAACGTTCATGCGAAGAGATCAAAATATCAACATTAACAGAAGTTTGGAAAAAGCTGATTCCAACCTTCATGAGGACTTTGAGGGGTTCAAGACTTCAATGAAGGAAGTAAATGCAAGTATCTTAGAAGTAGCTACAGAATTAGAATAATAAGTGGAGCGTAAAGATGTGACTTGAATTGCTATAATCTCAGGATAAAACTTGAATGAATGAGTTGCTTCACAGGGAAAGAAAGTGGTTTCTTGAGAAGGAATCTACTCCTGGGGAGGATGGTGTGAAGATTGATGAAATGACAGCAAAGGATTTAGGATATTATATAAATTTAGTAAAGTGGAGGTGGGGTTTGAGAGGATTCACACCAGTTTTGAAAGAAGTTCTACTGTGGGTAAAATGCTATCAGACAGAATCACATGCTGCAGAGAAATTATTTGTGAAAGGAAGAGTCAATCTTATGTGGCAAACTTTATTGTCTTATTTTAAGAAATTGTTACAGCCACTCCAGCCTTCATCAACCACCACACTGATCAAACAACAGCCATCAAATTGAGGCAATACCTTCCACCAGCAAAAAGATTATGACTTGCTGAAAGCTCAGATGGTGGTTAGCATGTTTTGGCAATAAAGTATTTTTAATTAAGGTATGTACATTGTAAAGACATAATGCTATTGCACACTAACTAGACCACAGTATAGTGTAAGCATAACTTTTATATGTATTGGGAAACCAAAAAATTCATCTGACTCTCTTCATTGTGATATTTACTTTATTGCAGTGGTCTAGGACTGAACCTACAATATCTCTGAGGTATGCCTGTATATTTCACATACATTAGAAATTAGGGGCGCCTGGGTGGCTCAGTTGGTTAAGCGACTGCCTTCGGCTCAGGTCATGATCCTGGAGTCCCTGGATCGAGTCCCGCATCAGGCTCCCTGCTCAGCAGGTAGTCTGCTTCTCCCTCTGACCCTCCCCCCTCTCATGTGCTCTCTCTCTCATTCTCTCTCTCTCAAATAAAAAAAAAATCTTAAAAAAAAAAAGAAATTAGATTCTTGTGACTACTTCTAATAGCTTTCCACTTCTGCACTGTTCCATGGAATTCTGGGAAAACCCCAATAACCTCATAATCTAACATTGATTGTGCAAATGCAATCTCTTATACTCTGACAACTGAACTTGTAATTGTGTTACTAGACTTTACTGATGAAGATACCCTATTGGCGAGGTAACACATAGTTTTTAAGAATCTTTCTAATTATGTATAGATAGACCATTGGATATTGTTTCTTCTGAATCGAATGATTGTAGTTTGAATTTACACAGCACATGATACCAGGCAAGGAGGTTGTTTCATTATCATAAGAAAGTAAACTAGGGTGCCTGGGTGGCTCAGTTGGTTAAGCGACTGCCTTCGGCTCAGGTCATGATCCTGGAATCCCAGGATCGAGTCCCGGATCGGGCTCCCTGCTCAGCAGGGAGTCTGCTTCTCCCTCTGACCCTCCCCCCTCTCATGTGCTCTCTCTCTCTCTCTCTCTCTTATTCTCTCTCTCTCAAATAAATAAATAAAATCTTTAAAAAAAATAAGAAAGTGAACTATATTCTAGACATCAGTGAATTTGAAGAGGAGTCAAACCATGTGATGTGAATTTCATTACTTAAGTATGTGTTTTAAAGGCAAAATGACATTAAGTTCCTCCTTGTAATGAAGAAGTTTTAAGTGGTATTTGATTTGCATAAGCATAATAACATGGCTTAATATGCAAATCTTATCTCTAAATATATATGTATTTTCAACTAACGTAGTCCATGGTCTCCATGCTTTTTTATGTGCATGTTATAATATGATTAAAATACTTGTGATTATATTTCTTGCATACTTTCTTCAAGTGATTATGCTTGGGTCTTCTGAGATAGTTTATATTAGCATATTAATTCATTTTACATGACTTAGAAGCCTTCACAAACCTCCAAATAACATACCATTTTACCCATTCATTAAGCTTGCACTTGTCAATGCATGGCACTGGTTTTGCCTGGGATCTGTTATCACACATAGATCATATTTCTGAGAAACTTTTCAAAATTTTTACTTCTCTTGCCAAATATAGAAGGAAGACAAAAAGTCTTTCTAGTAATTCTAAAAGCAGAGACAGGAAGTTTACCCAGGAAAATTCCAATGAGTTACTGAAATATGAGTTTGATGAGATCTGATAATTATAATAGCCAAAGTGAAAACAAAATGACTGGTAAGGCTACAAGCCAATTCATCTAAGGGCAACAGTTATGATCAATGAAAATTAATAAAATGTAAGGTGATTGACTTTAGTATCACTAAGAACTCCTTTTGACCAAAAGGCTTCCTTTTTGCTGGACTTTTAGGGTTAGTCTTTTCCTGTCAGGTTACCTGTCAGTTGGAGAATTACAGTGTCTTTGCCTGTGAACTACAAGACTTTTCCCCAGAGCTACCATTCTCAGGGTATAAGAATATAGGGCGGCTGAAAATAAACAATGGTACCTGAAGCTTCTGCTTAGATAAGATAAATGTGACATTTGTTCACATCCCATTGACCCTGAAGTTTCCCTGGATGTGGGGAACAATCTATTATATTCTC